ATAGCTGGATCGATTGTCACTGTGGTTTTGTTATGTTTGCTGGTTTCATGAACTGCTTTCCCTAGGGTTTATTATGGTAGGCTCACAGTAATTCTAACTTATGTGGAATTCCTAGAATCACAATTTTGGTGTTAATTCTTGTGCAGCTGAAGGAACGTCAAATGCACAAAGGCTGCCTCAGCCTATTGCTCTCCTCTGTTATCAGTCAGTTTTGGAACTGTGAAAAACAGCCTTGTCCCTTCTTACATACTCTGACATTTAAGTCGACAGTGATTGTTCATTTAAAATTAATCTGAGGGGTAGGAATTTTCTGAGTAAGTTATGGTACTGGAAAAAAAATATTTTTGTTTGTGTTTGGTTTTAGTTTTTTTTGTTTGTTTGTTTGGTTGGGGTTTGGTTTTTTTGGGGGGGTTTTGCATCATTGGGTAGTTTTTGTTTGGCTATTTTTGTGGGGGTTTTTGTTTGTTTTGGTGTGGGTTTTTTGTTTGTTTTTGCTGTCATGGTATATTTATATATATATCATGGTGTGTCAGACTGATGTGAGAGCAGAAACATGAGCAAGAAGAAATTTTCAGTGAGATCATTTAGAGCTTTTTCTCTCAGAAATTGTTTTTTATTTGGACATCCACCTCTATGATCAGGAATGTGTATAACTGCAGCATCTTTTCAATGGGTCTTGGTTAGTATCTTGGATATTTAGATATATTTCTATCAGTACACAAATTTTCTGGAAACTTAAACCATCTTCTAACTTTCAGTTCTGCCCTATACTACCTGTCTCTTTCCTACTTCTTCCTCTGTACTGAACCTGATGCTTGATAGATCCCTGGAATGGAAAGGAATGGCTCTTCTTCAGGCAAACAGTAAATTGCAAATACCAAAGAAACAAACCCAAAACGTTAATTGTTTAGTGGAAGCCACTTTGTGTTTCTGAAACTCTGAATTTGAAGTCATACTTTGCCAGCACCTTGAGGTATTCCTGTATCTTTGTCCAGCGTGCCCCCCGCATTGTACATTACCACTTGCATCATGTCAGAAAGCCTGGGAATAGCAGTGATCTTTCCCAAAGAGCTTCTTGTTTGAAGCATTGAAAGTTTTTTCTCTGCTTCAGAAAATTCAATACCAACATACTCACAGTATGCAGAAAAACTCTTAGTGATATAATTCTAACACTGAAAGAAAGCAGAGTAGCATATATTATTTTATTGGCTACCAGAGCAAAGATTGTCTTTAAATATATGTGCCTTTTACCTGTGCTTTGTGACAGACATGCAGCCTTGTCTACTGGCACATGGCAAAGGGAAATCAATTAAAAATGCATAATTATATTATAAATATTTATAAAATAGCTAGATAAATATAATCTGACAGGGAAAATCCAAGAAGACTTTTAGAATAGCAAATCTATGCTCTAAAATATATTGGAATTGTTGAGAGTGAGTTACAATGTGGTAAAATGTCACTGCATAGGCAGTGCATAGGCTATCAGGGATATTCACAACACTTTTGATAAAAGTCCTTTTCAAAGCAAGCATGAGAATTTTAAGCAAAGACGTTTAGCTAAATAATTTTGGAAAGAAGAAAAAGAAAACAATTTTCAGGAAGAATGGGGTGATGGTGCCAGTGTAGAAACTTGTAGGCATTGTTGATTGATTGATTGATTGATTGATGGACTGATTTGTAACTTAGGAAAGCTTTCCAACAGGAATAAAAGTGATCAGGCTTTATTCAGAGATTAGGAATTTTCCAAGTCTGCTAAAAGATTTTTTAGCTATATATTTCATGTAACTGCCCGTTCACATAGTTGTGCACATATTCATTCTTACTCAGTAAATTATGCCTCTAAGACTTCAAGGTTTATAAGCATCAAATAGAAAAACAAGAGGGGGGAAGAATTTGGTTCTTTAAATGCAAGTAAAAATTTCCTATAATTTTCCTATAATTTTCCTATAGTTAGTAATCCTCCTTTTCTGTAGGCCTGTACATCAGAGACCTTACTGCTAATTCTTCTACAGGAGAACTTTGACCGTGGGACTTGACTCCATTTGTTCTCTGTGTTGATGTAAATATCAAGAATAAGCTGCAGGTTTTGTATGGAGCAGTTTATTTTCTGCTTTTGCTGCAGATGGTTGAATTTGCTCAAGCTGCAAGAGCTGCAAAAGTACATAATGAAATAGAAAATTGTGCTAAAAATGGAAGAAACTATGCAAGAGAGAAACTTGTTCTGACTTTAATAAAAGGCTCACAAAAGTTTCTTCAGTGGAGATATTAATATCTGGGGATATTGCTGGTGATTTCTTGCTTACAGAAACCTCTTTCCTATTAGTCCAAACAGAGAACAATGTCAGTAAGAGTTGGGTCAGGGTGCTAATTAGCTTCGTGAAAAATAGATGGGTAGACAGACGAGGAGATAGATGTGTCCTAATTTGTTGAGTGCTTTTAAAGATAAATGGCCTTGAAGTAGATTTGTTTTCAAATGGATAGCCAGTAGAGTGTTCAGAGCAGTGGCACACTGAGCTCTCATCAGTTTTTCTCACAGTGATGAATGTTGCATATTCTGTCTGTTGACGTGGTCTTTGCCATCAGATGTCCCAATTTATTAATAGTTTTTATGGCAATGGTCGTAAATTATTGCAGCCCAATTTTATTACTGTTTTACATCTACCTAGGACTGAGCCTCGTGTGCAGCTTTATATTAACTCAGCAGGCATCATTAAAATATTGACATTTAGGCTCATTTTGGTAGCATTAATCATAGCATTTTATCATGCCTTAATTGTATGAAATGACTGGTTTGAACTGACTGGAGTGTTCACTTCCCTAAAAGCAGGTGAAACAATAATTTCCATTTCTGTACTTTTTCAACCCATAACTGTACTTTAAAAAACCCAAACAACAAACAGCCCTAAAGACGTAATCCCCCCATCTCCTATCTGTATGTGCTGTGGGCATCATGACTTCTTTGCAACAACTGAACATGTAAGACCCAGCAGCTCTTATGGGCCTCACTGGAAGCTCTTGAAAGTGTCTCTCTGAAAATCAGCCTCTGAAATCTCAGTGTAGACACCTACAGCCAGGCCTTGGCTTCAAAAATATACCCTAATATATATAACAAGAGTACTTCTGATGTGCAAAAAGCCCTGCAATCTGTGGCTGTTTTCATATGCTGAAATGACTTAAGGGTTTAAAACAGGCACAGAAATGCCTTTTGTGATTCACCAGCAAGAATAGGCTAACAGCACCCATGCCTGCTTTGTCTTACTATACCAGTAACAGACCCTGTGATATTTGCTGGCTCTTTTCAATGGAGAGCATCACTAGATGGTTATGTTTAATACAAGGAGTTGGCAGCCTTTCTCACTTAACAATCATTAGGAGATCTGCTGCTGAGGTCCCATTTTGTGAGGCAGCTGGAAATTGGCACTTAATTTAAATGTATTGTTTTCTACCTTTCTCTTCAAGTTCAAGGACAAGGTAAAACTGTTCAGACTACACAGAGAAAAAACTTTTTCTCACTTTCCTTTGTTTATTTGGTCTTTCCACTTCTCCATTTATTCCCTGTGAAAATGTATGCCCCTATATATACATGAATTAAATGGAAGTGAGGCCAGTGTCAGCAAAGATGGAAGCAGAAGGCTTGAGCGAAGGTATTTGAAAGAACCAGGCAGAAGATAGCTATGATAATCATGTAGACTTCTCACTGGAGTGAAAATCATCTAGGTCTTCATTTCTGTTTCTCTTGATACTTATGAAGGAGGACAATAATGTTGTACTGTTCCTGTTACTGTTGCTTCTGCTTTAGGAAATGGAGGCCTCGAATGGGTCTCAGATTCAGAATAGTGGTATCCCAGTCTGCTAACCTTCACTTTGTTCTCCTAATCACGCATTTAATTATTTTAAAGGCTGCCCTTTCCAATTCCCATCCTTAGATGTTCTTTCAACTTCAGCAGTTTGACCAGTTGTATTTCCTTGATAACATGATAAAGCTTAGGCCACAGACTTCTACTGTAGCTTTCTGCCTCCTGCTATACTGGATCTTCTCAAAAGACTTTCTAGTGATAGAGGTTTTCTTTTTTCAATTACAGTGGCTTCACATGACCAAATATTATTCATTAACTTGATTGCCTAAGGATATCAAACTCCAGGGGAAACTTGTATTCCTATATGATTGGCAAGATAATTAGGAAGTGAAATAATGCAAATCCCACTGCAGGCAGCCATCAAAGATTTACATATTTATTCTTTGAATTCAAAGTGTGTCATATCATACATCCTTTCTTTCTTTTAAGGCTTTTCTAACTGTAGGTTTATTACTGACCTTCAGCATGCACGTTTTGCAGGGGCAGGAGGCTTTGTGAGCTCAATCAAGTTGGGCTGGTAAATCCACTGAGATTTTTAGTCTGCAGTGTCACCTAGATAACACAGGCTAAAGTACACTTTTGCTTTTACTAGCTTTTGATTTTAAGCTCCTGGGTCACAGCCTATCAGTCTTTATTTGTAGAGTATCTACCACAATTAGAGCTTCTACATGATATGAAAACACAGGCACAGAAGCCACTAATGGCAGCAAGAGTTCTGCATCCTCCAGGAGGGTGGAACATTGGGTATAGCTTAGAGACATCTTATATGGAGTCTCCTCCAGCCTTCCCCTTTAACAGAGAACAGGGTAAGCTCATATCAGTAATTGCTGCACCCAGGCAGCAGTAGCAAGTGGGAGATTATATGTGAGAGCGGTATAGATGTGGGGTCCTGTAGAGGATGGCCTTCAATAAGTAAAAGTCACTTATAAATTAAACATGTAGCAAAACCCTACCAAGTAAAAGGTGTCTTACGAAGTTCTGACAGTTTCTCAATCTGACAGTGGTAAAACCTGAGAAGTGAGGATATTAGTGGAGTTACTCTGATGTGTTTGGACTAAAATTCATCTGGCAAAAAAAAAAAAAAAAAACGGACAAAAAAATCAATATTCTTGCTAATGAGAACCAACATTTATTTTACAGGAAATCTGAAGTTTTGCCTTCTGATTCTGAACCAGCCTTTCAACAAAGGTCATTTCCATTGTCTGTGGAGCAGAGGTAATAATAACTTACATACATCTTCATTTGCTTATTTTCTTACCTGTTACCCAGCTAATGTACTTCATGTCTGTTGAATTGCAGTGTGGCAATTTCCTCTTTACTAGAGCAACCCACTGGAGAGGGTGTAAACTGGCAGAGTACGTCCCTTGTTGCTGAATGCAGCAAATGGGCTGATTATGTAAATTCTGCATCCCTGCATTGCACACGTCAGAGGGAACTTTGTGCAGTGATCTGTGTAAGACTGTGGCTTTTCAGAGGCTTCTTAGGAACGATCATTGTTTTGCTGACAAAATGTAGGAGATCAATGATGCATTTAAGAGTCTGGAAGTGAGCATTTCTTTAAAGGTCATCAATGAAATGTGTTAAATTTAATCAAAATAAAATGAACCGTGTAGATATTAAGTTGTGAAAGCGATGGGGAATTTGCGTGCTTGTCAGAAATATGCAAATCAGATTTCACTACCCCTTTGTTAAATATGCACAGTGCTAATCATCATCTCTGGTATGATTGCTTCAGATTACTGACATTTTGTGGAGATATGTAAATCTTTACAAGCTTGGAGCTATTAATTCCTCCGTGCAGGAACGTAGTCCTTCAGAAGCTTTCTGAAAAGCCACAGGAACTGTCTCTAACTTATTCCCAGGATGGGAACCTTGCAGAGAGATTCCTCTTAACTGGCTGGAGCAGACAGAGCTATTTGGTTGCACCATAGGCATAAGGACTGGCAGGGGGTAGCTGTACAGTTAAAAGGAATTGGAATAAGGGATGAAGTGAGCAGGATATATTCGTAGCACTTAATTCCAGTAAACCCAAATTAGGTACCCATATAGCCAGAAGAGCGATAAAACCAGGGAAATAATTGTACAAGATGATTCAAAGCATCTGAACAAGTGCTGTACCCCAAACAGACTCACTGTCATTTGCATAATCAGCAAGAAAGTAACAAGCGCTCAGTGGAAGGGCTGTCCAGTTATTTTATAGATGTGATTCTACATATTTTTTCTTTTAAAAAGATACACTGAATCACCTGCTTTGTATTAAATAGACAAAAAAACAAGGCAAAGCATTTGGTCTTATCTCTTTGTCCCACCTTTCCCGTTTTTAGGATTGGGGTTAAAAAAAGACAGTTAACCAGACATGCACAGTTTCTGAATGGCAGTATTTAGTGTCTTGTACTACTTTGCATGTGTTGCTTTAATGTTGTGTTTTCTTGATCAGACTTTTTTTTTTTGTCTGTCCTTTGGAATTTTAAATCTGCCTCATTTGATCAAACCATGGGGCATAGTGTTCTTACTGTAACACTAATGAGCCTTTAAGCTACATTGCTTGTGTCAAGGGTTGAAATAAGAAGCTGAATAAAATCACGTAGGCCAAAGACTGTCTAATTCGAAGCTGCCTCAATGGGTTCCTGTTCTCTGAGCATAACTGTTTTGAAAGTGATCACTGGTGCTGTAAACGCCAAAGAGTTTGTGGGAGGAGCAGAAGTCCTAATTAAGCTATTAAGACTTTTGTTGGTCGATTACTTTAAGAAATAGGTGGATATTTTCTATCTAAGTAAAATTACAGATATAGGTGGTTACTTGGTAAATATGAAATGTTTTTGTTCAAAGCATCTCAGCTGCAGCAAACCTTAGTGAATCCTGGACAAGGTTTTGGTACTGCCTGGCTTACAGTGCTAGTGGACTACTTTAGATGTCAGCAGTTTTCTGGATCCTGCTTCTGGAGGAGCTTTAGCATAGGGACTGTTGCAGGACTACAAGAAGCTGGTGGTTTGGTATGTGAAGTTCTGAAGGAATCATCCTTAGGATCAATGCTTGATGACCAGCTGTATATGCTTGAGATACCATAAAGGAGAGATGAGAAGGAAATAGTGGGGCTGTTAATCCACAGGATATTGCTAGCTACCTAAACCTGGGGAGAAAGAGAGAGGAAGATACAAAGGAAAAATAAGATAAAATATTGTCTCACTTCCCTGAGTTACAGGAATCTTGAGTTGTTATACTCAGTACAGAATGCTGAGATGTGTTATTTTCAAGTAGTTTGGGTCCTATTGTCCTGGTTTAGGGCAAATTTGGGAGGAAAGTGAATGATACAAGCAACATAGAGTTATCCTAGGACACCTATCAAAATAACTTCTTTCATTAGTCCTGTCAGTTTAATGTCAAGTAAAAAGTGGTGTGATGTGAGATGTCTTAAGTTAAAAAAAAAAAGTGGGTATTCTAGGCTAAAATCATCCCAGGTGTAACTCCTCTTGACCTTGAGAAAAAGTGGTTACAGCTAATTAACCTTTGTCTTATTACACACATTTATGAAATCTATTTTTACTGACATACTTTCAAAAGAACTATTTTAGTCGGTACAAGTTTGCATGAACTTCCTTCCTTGTGCTTTGTGAAGGACACTGAAATCAGATTTCATCACTTCCAAGAGACCTCTTTTACCATTCTTGCCATACAAGCTGGATAAGTGACAATAGTGAAGGAATACATGGTAATGACTCTATGATTTTAGTCTATTATATATCATTACTGTAAGGAATCAGTCTAGAATATGTTCAGTTGTTTGCTGTTTGGTACAGTCATGCAGTATTAGTGCTGTCCTAAAAGCAGGATGGATGAAATGCTGGAGAAGGGACAATTTGCAAAAGCAGGATGAAGACTAACTAATATGGCAGACAACACTGGTTGTTCCCTGAAGGATTTATTGGCTGCATATAGTGAGAAGGGGAGAAACCAAATGGCAAGAGAAATTAAAGGGAATAGGTCAGTAAAGGGGAATAGGAGGAAATGTGGAAAATATGTCAAAGAGTCAGGACCCTGCTTTTTTCAGAGCTGCACACTTTTCTGTCTGGAAGTTTTCTATAAGGAAGACTGGATCCAGTAGGCCTTACCTTAACACTGTCATGCATCCTAAATTCCTGCTTATGCAAAGTTTCTAGCTCCTGGATTGAATCCTGTTAATGAAAAAAATATGGTTGTGAAAAAATCCAGTTTGAATTAGTCTCTGGGGCTACTTCTCAAGTGATTTCAAATGTAAATATATCTTTGACAGAATTGACTGTGAGTTGAAAGTCTGAAGCTGTCTTTATGTTAAGTTTGAGAAGTACAGAAGGTTTTAGTGGCTGAAAACAGAATGGGCTTTCTGGGGAATAAATGAAAGTTCCTGAGACTTTGATTCTGCTTTTTAAAATCTCTTTAATCAGAAATGCAATGACTTACTTATGCCAAGAATTACAGCTATGTCTAGTGATTTCAAGTGCTCTGATTTTTTGATGTCTCCCTAGGGAAGAGGAAGAATTTTTGAAGTGCTGAGAAATCACCTCAGTGAAATTTGCCTTAAGTTCAGGATCTGAAAATGGTTTCTTGTTTCTGAAAACATTACCCCTCCAAGCTACTCAAATGATCCAGAATTTTCTTATGTCTCTGCTTTATGATAGGATGTTAAATGGCTGTACATTGCAGAGTACTTTCCACTCTTAAATGTTGACAATGACAGCTGTAAAGAACAAGGAGTTATGCTCTAGAAAATAAGATTAGTATTTAAAAAGTCAGAGTGAAATGACAATATTCTATAGCAACCTGATCACATTGGGCTTTATAGTAGGAAAATGTGTCCATGTATATTTTTAGTTCTCACAATGGTTGTGATATATTGGCCACTGTGCCTTCCTCAAAAGGATTATGATTTCTTTCCACAAATAAACACTTTCCATGAAAGCTTTCAATCAAACAAAACACATTGAACAACTTCAAATATTAGCCATTCGTACTACCAAATGTCCTTGGCTAATGTATTAGAGTAAGCTACCAATATCCCTTTGGAACGGGCTGACTGAATCCTGACTTTTGGGAGGTGTGTTTAATGTTGGACAAGTCCATAGAAAGGAGACATCTATGAAACCGGTCTGCAAAAATGTCATTCAGGTGTATATCCCTAAACAGTCTCTTCCACGGACAGTTCTTTCCAGTGAAGGAACTTGGGATCTAGCTGCATCTTCTTATGCTGCTCTGCAGACAACATGACCAGACACTTCATATGCATAGTATATGGGCATTTTATGACACCTTCTAGGTCATGAAACTGGAAGAGCTCCAGAAAGAGGAATGTTGCTCACCCTGGAGGCTGCAGCTCTGTATTGTGTGTGGGGTCTATATATTGAGATAACAGAAAGCATTCTTCTACAGCAGCCGTGTAGTAAGTCAAATCCAAACTCTGTTAAATTGTCTTCAAACAGTATTTTGTTAGATTACTTATATTGTGATGACTTATCCATAAGCTGAGTTTTCTCTATCAATACCCATATTGCAACTGCTCAATCAAAGCAGCTGTTGCATTCTAAATCTTCTCTTGAATGTCAGGCAACTTTCCTGTCAAGGCCAGCCTACTCTTTGGTGAAAATGCTGATAATGAATGGTTGGTTAGCACCTAGAGGTGACTGTGGATTACCAAATGTCTCTCCTTACTAAACAATCAGATCAGAAAAGGTGCTGATTTGTATGAACGGTTTCCAAGTCATCTGTCTTTGAATGCCACATGCTCCCATACATTTTATGTTCCATATGCTTTTGGCTGCAATGGTGATTGATATTTTGAATGTTTTCAGATGAGGTTTAAGAGGGAAATAAGATACAAGTGGTAGTACAAAGTTCAGGTATCAGTTCAGATGTACAGAGGTGAAGGCAACAGATCAATTGGAACAGTTTTAATGTCTCAGAGCAGAAGAAAAGATATTGTAGTTTAATAAGAGGAGGAGAAATAACCTGACTTTTACTGGTGCTTTTTTTTTCTTCTCTATGATTGATACTTTCTCCTTTAGTCTTTAGGGGTTGAACTCTCCTATACTTCCAGAATTATTAGTATGTGCAGCCATTCACTTGCCTTTTTACCTGTCATCCAATGAGCTTGCCTTGTTGGCATATGGTGAGCTTTTTTCTCACCTTTTATTTTCATTTCTAGCTGAACTTACTTGTAATATATCTCAAATTTGTACTGGACT